TCCAGGATCTCTTACTGTGATCCCTTTCAGAGTGGCCAAAGGTGGTAGCCAGGCAACATCTAGTTCTTCTGGTTTCAGGGTCATGGAGGCTGTGGTTTGCATGGTCCATTAGTCCTTTGCACTATTGTTTTCTTGCATTTTTCATTTTCTTGGGTTTCTGAGGCTGTATCACTATGGAAGTAGATCGCCCAACCTTTCAAACCTGGTGGGTTTGAACTGCCAGCCTTCTGGTTAGCAGTCACATGCCTTAGGCACTATGCCACCAGAGCTCCTAGTTGCACCTTAGATAGCTAAATTTGTGGTAGTTTGGTATGTACCATAGAAAACTAAAACATAAACCTTATGCAGATTATTGACCTGAGTTTATGTTTTTCCATCTGTAAAATGAGAATCATAGCTCTTTATAGGGATGTTGTAGGATTAAAGAAAATTGTGATGGGAAATACCTGTAAATCAGTAGGTAATAAGAAATGTTGGTGTGCATAACATCAACCTGGTTGTTTGCATTTTCTTTTCTGGCTTTTCCTTCTAAATCCAAGCTGAGCCAGCATTGTCTTACTACAAAGGCAACACAACCACTGCTATGGAGTCAGATCCGACTCATGGAGACCCTTCCTTGGGTTTTCAAGGTGGTATCACTATGGAAGTAGATTGTCCAACTTTCCTTCCAAGGAGTGGCTGGTGGGTTTGAACCTCCAGCCTTCTGGTTAGCAGTCAAATGCCTTAGGCACTATGCCACCAGAGCTCCTTGTATTACTACAATGACTTTTTTTTTTCTTCTTCTTGTTTTTGGGTCTGTGAGTTGTTGAGTACCTCCATTGCATAGGGCTTGACTCTAGTCTTTGGACTGAGTTTAGGCTTGCTCCACATATATCCATATTCTCCTTGGACTGGTGGCTACCTGAATTATTATTTTTCTTCTAGGAGCTGAGAGATAAAGCCAAATGATTCAAGCATTACATCTGCTAACATTTTCTTGTCCAAAGCAAAATCACATGGCCATATCCAGTGTCAACCGGTGATGCTCACTCTAGTATACTTCAAGGTCACATGATTGAGAGAGGGAGGGATTATTGAGAACAGTAGTCTAATATATCTCAACTCTTTTCAAGTCCACCACCTTATGAATAGCACTGAAATACTGTTTGATGTATTATTGGAAAAATTTATGAATAAATTTATGAATTTATGTCTAATTTCGTGTCCTAAAAGGAGTCCCTCAGGTTAGAAGGCACTCAATATAGAAATGGGAAAGAGCTACCTCCTCAAAGCAGAATTGACGCTAATGATGTGGGTGAAGTTAAGCTTTCAGAACCTTCATTTGCTGATGGAATATGGCTCAAAGTGGAGCGGGGGGGGGGGGACTGCAAACATTCATTAATAATAAGAATGTGGAATATACAAAGTATGAATCTAGGAAAATTGGAAGCTATCATAAATGAAGTTGAATGGATAAAGATCATATCCTAGGCATTAGCTGAAAGGGACTGGTATTGGCCATTTTGAATCAGATAGTCAAATGGTCTACTCTGCTGGGAATGACAAATTGAAGAGGAAAGGTGTCATATTCATGGTTAAAAAGAATATTTCAATATCTATCCTGAAGTACATTCCTCTCAGTGATAGGATAATACCCATATGCCTACAGGGAATGCCAGTTAATACTGCTGTTATTCAAATTTACACATAGACCACTAAAGCAAAACATGATGAAACTGAAGATCTGTACTAACTTCTGCAGGCTGAAATTGACCAAACATACAATCAAGATGTATTGATAATTACTCATGATTAGAATGTAAAAGTTGGAAACAAAGAAGAAGCATCAGTAGTTGGAAAATATGGCCTTGGTGATAGAAATGATGCTAGAGACTGCATGATAGAATTTTGCAAGACCAATGACTTATTCATTGCAGGTACATTTTTACAACAACATAAACAGTGACTATCCATGTGGACCTTTTCAGATGGAATACAGAGATCAAATAAACTACATCTGTGGAAAGAGGTGATGGAGAAGCTCCATATTATCAGTCAAAACAAGGACAGGAACTGACTGTGGAACAAACCATCAATTGTTCATATGCAAGTTCAAGCTGAAGTTGAAAAAAAGAAAAGCAAGTCCATGAGAGCCGAAATATGACCTTAATTATGTCCCACCTGAAGTTAGAGACCATCTGAAGAATAGATTTGATGCATTGAACACTAATGACTGAAAACCAGACAAGTTGTGGGATGACATTAAGAACATCATACATGAATAAAGCTAAAGGTCATTAAAAAGATAGGAGGGAAGTAAAGACCAAAATAGATGCCAGAAGAGATTCTGAAACTTGCTCTTGAACATAGAGTAGCTATACCAAATGGAAGAAATGATGAAATAGAAGAGCTGAACAGATTTCAAAGGGAAGCTTGAGAAAACAAAGTAAAGTGTTATAAGGAAATGTGTGAAGACTTAGAATTAGAAAACCAAAAGGCAAGAACAAGCTGAAAGAACTGAAGAAAATATTCAAGCCTCGGGTTGCAATGTTGAAGGATTCTATGGCAAAATATTGAACAGTGCTGGAAGCATCAAAAGAAAATGGAAGGAATGCACAGAGTCACTGAACCTAAAAGAATTGGTTGACGTTCAATCTTTTTGGGAGGTAGACTATAATCAAGAACTGAGGGTCTTGAGGAAAAATTCCAGCCTTCACTGAAGGAATCAGTGACAGACAAGGCCCTAGGGATTGATGCAATACCCACTGAGATATTTCAACAAATGGATGCAGCACTGGAGGCTCTCACTTTTTATGCCAAGAGATTTGGAAGACAATTACCTGGCCAACTGACTGGAAAAGATTGATATTTGTGCCCATTCCAAAGAAAAGTGATCCACCCGAATGTGGAAGTTATCAAACAATATCACACTAAAATTTTGCTGAAGATAATTAATGATCACAGCAGGATATTGATAGGGAACTGCCAGAAATTCATGCCAGATTCAGAAGAGGGCGTGGAATGAGTCATATCATTACTGATGTCAGTTGGATCTTAGCTGAAAGCAAAGAATACCAGAAAGATATTTACCTGTGTTTTGTTGATTGTGCAAAGGCATTTGACTGTGTGAATCATAACAAATTGTGGTTTACATTGCAAAGAATGGGAATTCCAGAACACTTATTGTGCTTATGAGGAACTTTACATAGACCAAGAGGCAGTCATTTGAACAGAACAAGGTGATACTGAACGGTTTAAAATTAGGGAAGGTGTGCATCAGGGTTGTATACTTACTCAATCTGTATGGTTAGTAAATCATCTGAGAAGCTGGGATATATGAAGAAAAACACAGCATCAGGATTGGAGAAAGACTCATTAACAATCTGCAATATGCAGATGATACAACCTTGCTTGCTGAAAGTGAAGATGACTTGAAGCACTTACTGATGAAGATCAAAGACTGCAGCCTTCAGTATGGATTACACCTTAATATAAAGAAAATAAACATCCTTACATCTGTGTCAAAAAACACCATCAAGATAAATGGAATGAAGATTGAAGGGATTTCATTTTACTTGGATCTACAATAAACCTTTATGGTAGCAGCAGTCAAGAAATAAAACATACTGTACCGGGCAAATGTGGTGCAAAAGTTGGGCCTGGTTTTGAGTGGCTGGGCAGCTGGATGTACTTATTCCTCATGGTGAGATTGGTAGTCAACTCCATGGTGGAATCTACTGGAGCAGCTGAGTAGCTGCCTTAGGAACGTGGTCTGCTTTCAGTATATAAGGAGAAGCATTGAGAAAGGTCTCAGCAGCTTTTGGCATGCTTGAATCCTGCATGTAGCTGATTGGTCGTTCAGTAGCCTCCCATGTGTCTGCAATCTTGGGACTGTTAATGGACTTATATCAGTGGCCTCCATGTGCTTTGGTGATATTGGGACTGTGCCTTTTTACTTGTTGACCTTGGGATTATCAACATCAGCAGCCAACAGCTGCCTGAGTAAAGAAAGCCTCCAGCTCCACTGGGCCGGGAGCAAGAGGCAGAACTGAAGCTCAAGGTTGAGGGGCTTTTACCCAGTCCCAAGAGCCTGGCACTTTGAAGTCAGACTTCTGGCCTCAAAACTATAGGAGAATAAACTCCTGTTTGTTAAAGTCACCCATTTGTGGTATTTTCTGTTAGAGTGGCACTCACTCACTGCCATCGAGTTGTATCCAACTCATAGTGACCCCTCCTTGGGTTTCCAAGGCAGTATCACTATGGAAGTAGATTGCCCAACCTTCCTTCTGAGGAGTGGCTGATGGGTTTGAACCTCCAGCCTTCTGGCTAGCAGATGTCTTAGGCATAAGAGGTAACTAAAACATTTGGAGTGGTAGCTTCTTTTTTCCTTCTGATTTAGTTCTCTTATTTTATTTATGGATTCCCATAAAAATATCACATTACACCCCAAACGCGTTTGTAAAAGAATATGTTGTTGTTATGTGCCGTCGAGTCGGACCCCACTCATAGCGACTCCTCCTTGGGTTTCTAAGGTGGTATCACTACGGAAGTAGATTGCCCAACCTTCCTTCAGAGGAGTGGCTGGTGGGTTTGAACCGCCAGCCTTCTGGTTAGCAGTCAGGGGCCTTAGCCACTATGCTACCAGAGTTCCTGTAAAAGAATATAGGTAGCAGAATTTGGTGACTTGATACACAAATTGAAGAGTTTTGTAATTTGGAGCAAATTAATTTTTTGTGACTGTTTCAATTTTCATGTCCAAAGGAGGATCTTTCTATATAGATCTCTTGAGAATGCGAACATACAGGGAATAATTTCTTGGTCAAAAAGTAGATTACTGAAATATTGCTAGTTCTCCTTTATTCATAACAAGGCAACAATCATGGGTAACTTTGGCCTCTATACCCATGCCTGTTGTTAAGACATCCCCGTCTGTCAGCTGGGTATCATTATTAGTGTTGATCAGGAAGAAAGTTAAGCAAAATATTGTAAAAGTAATCTTCCTTCTTTTTGTTCTACTGTAGGTCATAATGATTATATTTGCCCAGCTACAAATCAATGTACAATAGATAAGAACCGGCGTAAAAGCTGTCAGGCCTGCCGACTTCGGAAGTGCTATGAAGTAGGAATGGTGAAGTGTGGTAAGTGATCTTTACCCCTTTTACTGCATTGGGGGTGGTTTAAATAACTGGGAGCAGATACCTGGAATAGAGAAGATTTAGGACTTGGTAATTGTCTTCAAGTGTTGTATGCTGTCACATTGGAAAGGAGATTGACTTAACTGTAAAGGACAGAACTGAAGTGAATGAGCACATGCTACAAGGAGGCAGATATTGGCCCAATTATGGAAGAACATTATGCTGTTCAAGTGGTTAGGCAGTAGTATAGGCTGCCACGTGGGTTAGTGGACTTCTAGCCACTGAAATCCTCAAGCTGCGCTGGATGGCCATCTGCCTGAAGCTCTGAAAATCCCTATTCTAAGGATGAAGTCCTTGTAAATGTCCACAGTTAAAGCTTGTGACAAGAAAGACTATCTTGTGGGTTATTTAGGTAACTATGGGAAAGACCCACCACTCTTCTGTCAGTTTGTCATACTGTGGTGGCTTGCATGTTGCTGTGAAGCTGGAAGCTATGTCACAGGTATTTCAAATATCAGCAGGGTCACCCATGGTGGACAAGTTTCAGCTAAGCTTCTAGAATGAGACAGGCTAGGAAGAAAGACAGGGCCATCCACATCTGAGAAAAATTGGCCAGTTAAAACCTTATGAACAGCAGTGAAACGTTGTCTGATACAGTGCTGGGATATGAGCTCCTCAGTTTGGAAGACACTCAAAATATGGCTGGGGAAGAGCTACCTCCTCATAGTAGAGTCAACCTTAATGATGTGGATGGAATAAAGCTTTTGGGAACTTCATTTGCTGATGTGACACAACTCAAAATGGAAATAAACAGCTGCAAGCATTCATTAATAATTAGGACAAGGAAGATATGAAGTATGAATCTATAAAAATTAGAAGCTATCAGTGAAATGGAATGGATAAAGATTGATATCCTAGGCATTAGTGAGCTGAAATGGACTGGCATTGGCCATTTTGAATCAGACAGCCATATGGTCTACTATGCTGAGAATGACAAATTGAGAGAAATGGTGTCATATTCATGGTTAAAAAGAATATTTCAAGATCTATCCTGAAGTACATTCCTCTCCATGATAGGATAATATCCATAGGCCTACAAGGAAGACCAGTTAATACTGCTATTATTCAAATTTACACACCAACCACTAAAGCCAAAGATGAAGAAATTCAAGATCTTTACTAACTTCTCTAGGCTGAAATTGACCAAGCATGCAATCAAGATGTATTGATTATTACTGATGATTGGAATACGAAAGTTGGAAACAATGAAGCATCAGGAGTTGGAAAATATGGCCTTGGTGATAGAAATAACACCAGAGATCACATGATAGAATTTCGCAAGGCCAATGACTTATTCATAGCAAATACATTTTTTCAACAACATGAACAGTGACTATACACATGGACCTCTTCTTACAGAATACACAGGAATCAAATCGACTCCATCTGTGGAAAGAGGCAATGGAGAGATTCAATTTAATCAGCCAGAAGAAGGCCAGGAACAGACAATTACTTGCTCATATACAAGTCCAAGTTGAAGCTAAAGAAAATTAAAACAAGTCCATAAGAGCCAAAATAAAACCTTGATTATATCCCACCTGAATTTAGAGATGATCTGAAGAATAGATTTGACACATTGAACACCAGTGACCAAAGACCATATGAGTTGTGAGATGACATAAAAAAAATCATACATGAAGAAAGAAAGAGGTCATTAAAAAGACAAGAAAGGAATAATAAAAAAAGGATGTTAGAAGAGACTTTGAAATTTGCTCTTGAATGTGTAGTTGTTGTTGTTGTTATGTGCTGTCGAGTTGGCCCTGACTCATAGCAACCCCTCTTTGGGTTTCTGAGGCAGTATCACTACGGGAGTAGATTGCCCAACCTTCCTTCTGAGGAGTTGCTGGTGGTTTTGAACCGCCAGCCTTCTGGTTAGCAGTCAAGTGCTTTAGGCACTATGCTACCAGAGCTCCCTGAATGTAGAGTAGGTAAAGCAAATGGAAGAAATAATGAAATAAAATAGCTGAACAGAAGATTTCAAAGGTTAGCTCAGAAGACGAAGTAAAGTATTATAAGAAATGTGCAAACACCTGCAGTTAGAAAGCCAAAAGTGAAGAACCCAGTTGGTATTTCTCAAGCTGAAAAAAATGAAGAAAAAAATTTCAAGCCTTGAGTTGCAATATTGGAAGATTCTATGGGAAAAATATTGAATGATGCAAGAAGCATCCAAAGAGGATGGGAGGAATACAGTCACTGTACCAAAAACAATTGGTCTGCATTCAGTTATTTCATGAGGTAGCATATGATCAAGAACCAGTGGTGCTGAAGGAAGAAGTCCAAGCTGCGCTGAAGGAATTGGTGAGAAACGAGATGCCAGGAATTGACGAGTACCCATTGAGATATTTCCACAATGGATGCAGTGCTGGAGTCATTCACTCATTTATGCCAAGAAATTAGGAAGACAGCTACCTGGCCAATTGACTGGAAGAGATCAGTACATAGACCTAGAGGCTGTCATTCAAACAGAACAAGGGGATACTACATGGTTTAAAATCAGGAAGGGTGTGCATGCAGGTTGTATCCTTTCCCCACACTTATTCAATCTGTATGCTGAGTAAATAACCTGAGAGGCTGTACTATATGAAGAAGAGTGTGGCACCAGAATTGGAGGAAGACTCATTAACAACCTGTGATATGCAGAAGACACAGCCTTGCTTGCTGAAAGTGAAGAGGACTTGAAGCACTTATTGATGAAGATCAAAGATGACAGTCTTCAGTATGGATTACACTTCAACATAAAACAAAAATCCTCTCAAGTGGATCAATAAACAATATCATGATAAATGGAGAAAAGATTAAAGTTGTTAAGGATTTCATTTTACTTGGATTCACAGTCAATACCCCTGAAAACAGGAGTCAAGAAATCAGATGATGTGTTGCATTGGGCAGATCTGCTGCAAAAGATCTCTTTTAAGTGTTAAGGAGCAAAAACGTCACTTTGAAGACTAAGGTACGCCTGACTCAATCCATGGTATTTTCAGTAGCCTCATATGCATGTGAAAGCTAGACAATGAATAAGGAACACTGAAGAAGAGTTGATGCTTTTAAATTGTGGTGTTGGGGAAGAATACTGAAAATACTTCCAACTGCCAGACTCGACGGCACATAACAACAACAATAACAAGCCAGAAGAACAAACTAATCTCTCCTGAAGAAGTATAGCTGGAATACTCCTTAGAAGTGAGAATGGCCAGACATTGTCTCACCTACTTTGTTCATGTTGTCAGAAGGGAGCAGTCCCTGGAGAAGGGTATCATGCTTGGTAAAGTGGAGGGTCAGCAAAAAAAGGAGCAACCCTCAATAAGATGGATTGACACAGTGGCTGCAGTGATGGGCTCAAGCAAAGCAAATATTTTGAGGATGGTGCAGAACCAGGCATTCTTCCATTCTGTTGTACATAGGATGTGTCGGTGCTGACTCAACGGCCCCTAAACATGGGGAAGACCCATGCCCAACTCCTCCCCTAATTTTCTAGAAATGGAAACATACATAGGACTGAGAAACATGATGGAACTATCAAAAGGGCATTTGTTGTTGTTATGTGCCGTCAATAGCGACCCCTCCTTGGGTTTCTGAGGCAGTATCACTACAGAAGTAGATTGCCCCATCTTCCTTCCAAGGAGTGGCTGGTGGGTATGAACCACCAGCCTTCTGGTTAGCAGTCAAGTGCCTTAGGCACTATGCTACCAGAGCCCTATCAAAAGGGCATAGAGCATAGATTTCATTCTGTGTATCACATGCACACCCACGCATAATAAAGGAAAATGAGCACTTTAGTGTAACATCAGTGATGCCTACACCCTGCTCACCCCACCTGATTAGCTCTTGGTTTCCTTATTTGCACACACTTGTGTCTTTATGTACACTTATAAAAGTTTTACCTATACTTTTCTCATTCTTATGGAGCCACTGTTTTCCCTGTACTTACAAAGTGAGTAATCTCTCACTTTGTAACTAATTATTTTTAAAAGTGAAAACACACCTCTCTTTTCTCCCTGTGTAAACAGAGAGAGCCTTCCCCTGAGTTAAGATTTCTAATCTGTGTGTGTGTGCATGTGTGTATGAGAGAGAGAGAGAGAGAGAGAGAGAGAGAGAGAGAGGGATTTGCCTGAAAGTTTGTAGAACAAATTCATTTTCCATACAACAATTCATACACATTTTGTCTCATGATTTTGATTGCAATCCTCATAATGTAACAGCTCTTTCCCACTTCCTCCCTGTGGTTACCTTTTCCCTGTGTCCTTCTTTCCTATACATTCCGCCCTCTGGGCTATCTCCCTGTGCAAATACTGGCCTTCTAGTCTCCATGTTGTTGATAGTTCTAAGGAGTATACCTACCTGGTGTAAACATTCACCTTATATGCCTGTCTATTCATAGAGAAGAATATCATGTTTGGTAAAGTGGAGGGTCAGTGAAGAAGGGGAAGACCCTCAATGAGATGGATTGATGCAGTGGCTTCAGAGATGGGCTCAGGATATCAAGGATTGTGAGGATGGCACATGACTGGGCAGTGTTTAGTTCCGTTGTGTACACTGTTGCTATGAGTTGACATCACCTAAGAAGAACGTTGGGAGCTCTGGTGGTGTAGTGCCTAAGGCACTTGACTGCTAACCAGAAGGTTGGTGGTTCAAACCCACCAGCCACTCCTTGGAAAGAAGATGGGGCAATCTACTTCCATAGTAATACTGCCTCGGAAACCCAGGGAGGGGTCTCTATGAGTTGGGGCCGACTCAACGGCACATAGCAACAATAACAAGAACATTGTTTTGCTGGAAGCCATGGTCACTCCTGTTTAGTTCCGGGCCTGAAGGGTGACTAGGGGCCATAGTCTTGGAGGTTTCACAAGTCTCTATCAGACCAGTAAGCCTGGTCTTTATGATTTTGAGTTTTGTTCTACACTTTTCTCCCACTTTATGCAGGATCCCCTGTTTTGATCCCTTTC